CATTAAACTATTGTTATCTGTGATAATAGCTCCCTTCTTGGAGTAGGTCTTCTAAATTCTTTTAGGTAGTCAGGGTGGTCAGGGAGTCTTCTGTTTCTTGAGAATTACAAGCTTCAAAGAATCAATGTCCCAAAAAGCAGGGCTATAGAGAAAAGGTACCCAGCTGCCTATGATGTGAGAGGGTAGGGAGGGCTTTGGACAGGGAGTTGGGGAAGCTGGCTCTGGTCTCAGATGAGCCTTTGGTGTGTCACTGTCCTTGGCCAGCTCAGCTGTAAAGGGAGCCCACCTGGGCTCAGAGCTATCCCAAGACCTGAGGGAGACCGGGTGTGACCCATACTATATACTGGGACTGCAAGGTATGCTGACAAAGTCAATTTGGGGGTCTCATGTGGGCCATGACACCTCTTGTTTGTCCGCCCCGCCACTTGGATGCCTGAGGTGGGGAGACGTTGCCAGTTCCAGGTCAGGAAGCTTAGGGGAAAGGATCTGGAATTCCCTTTGGGTAACCCTCATATTGCCCGCCCCCCCCACCTCCACACACCCTGTTTACTCCTGTGAGTCCAGGGCACACCCTCTCTCAGGCTTCTTGGCCCCACCAGCCAGGAGGATTCAGACAAGCTAGCTCTCCAGTCAGATGGTTTTCCAGGGGAAGATATAGGATAGTTCCTGTTCCTTATGGGGGTGGGGGTGGAGGGGGCGGGAGGCGGGGGCGAGACTCAGCACTTTGTCAGTGGCTCCAACCCTAGATCTGGGCCAAATGCCCAGGTGGGTTCCCTAATGGGTGCACGCCACTGGAGATGAAGTGAATCGTCTCCTGGTGGCAGCCCACGTGGCTTCCCAGCTGCTCAGTTCTGGGACTCCCAAGGAGAGGGCAAGCACTACTGTGACAGGGAAGTCCAGGTAAGGATGATCCTGGCCCTCTGATGGGGAAGGAGATGCACAGTATTATTAATATGGGCTTTAAAACCTCACAGAACTGAATTTGAATCCTGGCCCTGCCAATTACTAGCTGTGAAGCACTGGGCAAGTTACCTGCCTTTCCTGGGACTCAGTTTCTTTCTCTTCATAAAGGAAGCCCAGCTCCCTAGTGTTGTTTTTAAAAGTGAACAACATAATTCTTGCGTGGTTCCTGGCAATGACGGGATGATGGCCACTTTGCTTACTACTTTAGGAGCACTCACTGCTTTAGGAGGGCTCCTGGGCAGATGGAGGGTTCTTGCCAGCTTCCTCCTCATTCATTGATTTCTTCATTCAATTCATCACACACTTCTCCCCCCTGTCATCCTTCAGATATCTACTTAAATGTCACCTACTCACCACCCTACCTGAATATCTTCTGTCACCAAACCCTACTTATTCATTCCCTTCACTGCACTTAGCTCAATTTGTAATTCTGTACTTTGTTCATTTTTAGGACTTTTTTTTTTTTATCTCCACTACTAGACCACAAATGACTTGGGCAAGAACTATATCTGTTTTGTTGTTGTTTATTCAATCTGCACAAAATGGCTAGCTTAGTGCCTGGCACATTGCATGGACATAATATTTGTTGAGTGAATATCCAGTTCCTGACCTTGGGGAGCTGAAGGAGGGGCTTCCTCCGGAGCAGTGACTAGTGGGAGTGGATGGTGGTAGAAAGAAAGGCTTTTTACCAATTGAGAACACAAATGGAGTTGCAGAATTTCAAGGTAAGAATTAGCCCCTTCTGAGCCGCATATCTCTGTATTCCTTTGATAGAGGATTTCAGGGCCCTAGTCCACTTAAGAGCTGCTCTGCCTCTGAATGAAGACTTCCTCCACATGACTGAGCTGAGTTGTGTCTCTTCTTTGTCCCCATCATTTTGTCCTAGAGCAGGGATGGGCAACCTTTTTGTGAGTGCGTGCCAAAACCAGCAAAATCTCTGACTCAAAATTATTCTGCGTGCCAACCCTAATTTTTTGAGAACATATTACGCCTACTTGATATCTCTTAAGGTGTACGTATGTGAAGAACCTTGAGGAAATAATAAAATTCATTTGAGCAACAAAAACACAGTATATGATAATGAAAAATACATTTATTTTTTAATGTATACATGTACACTGATGGTCCAACAGAAAACTTTATGACTCCGTTTGATATTATCAGTGGGACTTTTGCTGCTGCATCACTGATGACAGAGATTTTACATCAGGTTTATATTTCGTGACCTTCAGAGATATGCACGAGCTACTACTTTCATCCGTCAGGCTACTCCTATTACGAGATTAACAAAATTCATCACTGAGAACAAAGATTCACAAGCGTATGTGGATGAAAACATGGAGAGTAATGCTGTTGCAAAGTTTTTTAAACAGAAAAACTTTTCTGGAATGGCATTCCAAGTCCTCAATAGTTCGTTTTCGACACTTCTCTCTGGTACTCCTGTCTCTAATTGTTTTTTTTTCAATGTTTTCCAAGTCAACTCTAAGGTCAATAAATTTCTGCTTCCAAATTGAGCTACTCTGAAATTCAATCAACTGCATTTCAAAGTCAACCATGTCTATGGTCTTTAAGATAACTTGTTATGTAAAATTATTTCTTTATCTAAGATGCACCTACACTGAATTTATCTGAAAAATAAAAAAGTTGATATTAAGAAAAAAATTGTAAATGGAAGATTATAAGAGAGAGTTTCGCGTGCCAGCAAAAGTTACTGGCGTGCCATTTTTGGCACGCATGCCAGGGGTTGCCCACCCCTGTCCTAGAGCTATCCTTGAAGTCATCTTTGCTGGCCAGTGTCCCATTTCTGGCAAGCCTTTTCTTAGCTTTCCAAGGAGGAGCCAATTGGAAAGTGGAAGAGAGAGGGAAAGACAGGGAAATATCGATTTGAGAGAAACACATCAATTGGTTGCCTCCTGCATGTGCTCCCGACCAGAGCCCAGGCTGAGGAGGAGCCTGCAACTGAGGCAAGTGTCCTTGACCAGAATCAAACCCGGGACTCTTCAGTCCACAGGCTAATGCTCTATCCACTGAGCCAATCAGGCTAGGGCGATAAACTCATTCTTGCTCATGATGCCAATGTGAGGCTTCCTTCCTTTTTGAAGGCAACTTCTGAAGACAAGGTATTTTACCCAAAAGAGAGAATTTCCCAACCTGGGCAAAAATAAAAAAATAAATGCTGAGATTCCTAGAATGTAGATTTTTCTTAGAATCAGTGGCTGGTGGAAGGGAATTTGAAGAAGTAACTTCCTATCTGAAGTGGAGTTTCTCTCTGTAACATCCCCACCAAGTGGTCATCTTGTCTACTGCCAGTTCATATGATTTTCCAGGTCATGATAGCTTGGCAAACTAGAAAGCTCTGCTCTAGAAAAAGCTTGCTTGTGGCATTTGTTCTTCCCGTCCCGTTTGGAGTCACTCAGACCATATCTAGTCCTTATTTCTTTCAGATATCTAAAGATTATTGTTATGTTTTACCTTCTGCAGACTAATGGTCCTAGACCAGGGGTGGGCAAACTTTTTGACTCAAGGGCCACAAGGGCCGGAACAAAAGCATGGATGGAGTGTTTGTGTGAACAAATATAAATTCAAAGTAAACATCATTACGTAAAAGGGTACGGTCTTTTTTTTTTAGTTTTATTCATTTCAAACGGGCCGGATCCGGCCCGTGGGCCGTAGTTTGCCCACGGCTGTCCTAGACTCTCTGAGTTGCCCCATATGTACAGTAAAACGTGGTCCCTCTGGTGCCAAGTGTCTGAAACAGTCACATTTTTAAGAGTTCAAACATTTTAAAAATCATGTTGTTGCAGTAACTAAAGAATATGTTGTTATGATGAGTGTAGCATGGTGATGGCATAATCCACCAAGTAGAGAATGACCATGTGTTGATGTCACGGTGACCTAAACTTTAAGATACGAACAGGGCAGTACAGGTCATAACAGATAATCTCAGGGATATCAGGGTGGTCTTTCTGGTAACACAAGTTTTATTATGTTTTTCAAGATTTGAGGTGATAACTAATATTTTAAATGTTAAATCGTAATTGAGTAAATATGACATATGTCATTCTCTATTTCATAGAAGGGGGTTTGGCAGGGAGGGAACCAGGAGAAAATAACCAGAAGTTAGGGTTGGATCAAGTTGTTTTACTGTCATTGAAGTGTTGGAAGGAAAATATGTCTAAACTCCATCATTATCAGGTGGAGTCAGATTCCAAATAGATCAGATCTCATTTATTGCACAAAGCGTTTAAAAAATCCTTCATGTGGCTGAAAAAGAGGTTCTATATAAGGTAACCTCACAGAGTGATGTGATCACAGATCCCTAACTGGGCAGGTCTTGGTGGATAGTCTCTCCTGAGGCATATACTGTTTTGGAGAAAGGAGCCCTGTCCATTGATTTTTGTGCATCTAGATTAACACACCTTTGAACTAAGAAGGCACATAATCTTGTTAACTATCCTGTAACCCAATCTCCACCTCACTGTCTTCCAACTTCATGTAATCTTTCTTACGTTCCCTCCTTGTTTCCAAATGGATAAAAGAAACTGCAAACTTATTCTTGAGAGCATTTGAGATCTTGCTTAACAGCAACTGCCATCAGTTTGGGCTCAAATAAACTCAAAAAAATTCTCTACAGATTTGGACATTTTTACATCACAGCAGCCTGGCCTTCTTAAAATGAGATCCAATTACTTATATCTCCCCTAGAGAGGTAGGGTCCAGAGGGAGCATGGTATTTTCAGTACAATATTATCCTATACTAGAGGCCCGGTGCACAAAAATTTGTGCACTCAGGTGGGTCCCTCAGCCCGGCCTGTGCCCTCTCGCAGTCTGGCTGCTGGCACCAGTTTTCCTCCGGCGCCCGGAACCCAGGTCTTCGCTCTTCGCCGGGAGGAGCCGGCGTGGCGGGCAAGGGGCTTAGCTTTTTATTTTTATTTTTTTTTCCGAGGAGAGCATGGGGTCCGTTTATTGGGGGCTCAGTCAAAGGATGGGCTGGCTAGGGTGGGGTAGGGCAGCAGCTTGTCTGGCCCCCGAGAAACCTAACTTGAGTCCAGGGCTTCGTCTGCTTCAAAGCCAAAGTCTTCCTCCACCTTTATCTGCACGGGGGCCAGCTCCGGAGTCAGTGGGACTCCCACCCGGCGCCCTTCCCATGGTGCTCGCAGCCTCTTCTGCCCACTGGGCCCCTTGCCAGGGGACGGGCTGCTGGCTTCTGCGGGCGCTGGCGTCCTCCTGGGCGGGGACAGCCCCTCTTTCTTCGGTGGCTTGTTCTCAGCATTGCCTGGGGTGGGGCTGTCTGTGCCCTGGCTGCCTTCGTCCTCCAGTAAGATGGTGAACTGGCTGGCCTGGTAGTCGTCGCCATAGGAGTCCAGCACCCTCATGAGGAACCTCCACTCCTGCTGGAGTCTCCGTGTTATCCTCTGTACCTGATGGAGCCTGTTCAGGACCTGCTCGTTCACCTGCTCAATCTCCCTGCATCGCCAACCCAGCGCCTGGTACTTCCTGCGATTGAGTTCCCGTTGGCGCCACTGCTGGCCTCGGGCTGCCTCCTCCTCTTCGTCTTGCTCCCGGAAGCTGGAGCTGCCCAGAACCCCAGACATGAACTCCACTTCGGTCTCAAGCTCGTTTTTCAGGATGTGACCACCAAACAGCGGAGGCAGCACCAGCTCTGAGCCGGGAGGTGCTGAGAACTCCTCAAAGCCCACGGCTGCCATGGTCCCCTCTCTCTGCTCCAGCTCCATTTCTCCCCGGCTCCGGTGCAGAACTTCCAACCTTGCAAACCTCTAGGTTAAAGTGGCTTGCAAAACGACACGCCCCATCTGATTCCACAGCCAGGCACCTGGGCCCTGGCCACTAAGCCTCCTGGGAGTTGTAGTTCTCTATTTCCGGCTCGCCTCCCTCGCCCACCCGACCCCGAGTCCCGGCTGAAAGGCTCTGCTCGCTGGTCTAACACCACTGCCGGGCATCTGAGTTGCTTCCGTCTTTATTCCGGTCCCGACACCAAGCCGTCTGACCACGGAGACTCTCCGCTTGGGAGCCAGGTCCTCTCCGCGGGCCCCGGGGGCGTGGCGGAGGCCGGCAGCAGGCTTCCCTCTTTGCTCTTAGCTCACCATGCCGGCCTTCGCTCACTGCTCCTGTGCCTACATATGCAAATTAACTGCCATCTTTCTTGGCAGTTAATTTGCATATCACCGTGATTAGCCAATGGGAAGAGTAGCGAAGGTACAGTCAATTACCCTTTTGTCTTTTATTAGATAGGATAATAAAAGCCTAATATGCTAAGTGTCCAGTCGTCCAGTTGGCCATTCAATCAAAGCATAATATGCTAATGATATGCTAAGGCTGCTCAACTGCTTGGTATGATGTCCACTGGTAGGTTAGCTTGCTCCTGGGGTCCAGCCGATCGGGACTGAGCGAGACGGGCTGGACAAGCCCTGGAGCCCTCCCGTGATCCCTCCCTGCCTGGCCAACCTCCCATATCCCTTCCCGGCCCCAATCATGTACTGGTGGGGTTCCTTGGCCTGGCCTGCACCCTCTCGCAATCTGGGACCCATCGGGGGATGTTGGAAAGCTGGTTTCAGCCCAATGGTGGAATGACTGGTCACTATGATGCGCACTGACCACCAGGGGGCAGACGCTCCATGCGGGAGCTGCCCCCTGTTGGTTAGTGCTGTGGGAGCGACGCTCAGTCAGAAACTGGGCTCATGGCTGGCAAGCAGAGCGGTGGTGGCCTAAGTCATCAGTCAGACATCCCCCAAGGGCTCCCGGACTGTGAAAGGGTACAGGCCAGGCTGAGGGACCCCCACCCCCTCTGGGTGAATTTCGTGCACTGGGTCTCCAGTATTATATATTTGTTTCTATCCCTTTCTCTTCTCAGCACTGACCACAGCAAGGGACAATAACCACAACAAGAATGAAAAGGTTAAATCCACACACACACCTTTCTTTAAATTCAATAAGTATGTTTAAATCCAGATATAAGGTAATTCTCTAAGGAGGTTTATAATCTCAATAAAAAAAATTTAAATATTGCTCTAGCTGGTTTGGCTCAGTGGACTGGCCTGTGGACTGAAGGGTCCCAGGTTCGACTCCAGTCAAGGGCACTTGCCTGGGTTGCAGGCTAGATCCCCAACAGGGGGCATGCAGGAGGCAGCCAACCAATGATTCTCTCTCATCAGAGATGTTTCTAACTCTCTCTCCCTCTCCCTACCTCTCTCTGAAATGAATAAAAATATATTTGTAAAAAACATTTAAATGTTCATCTACAACCCTGATGGCTTTATGTAGACATAAATAAATGACCTGAATACGCACAAGTCTTTGGTTTTCTGGGGCTTTTCTTCTCTCTCATAATGTTACCAGAGAGGGGACCCAGCCAGGTACAGGTCTGCCTAGGGCCAGCCAGTAGAGAGTGGGTGCTTGACTTGGTGCAGGAAAGATTTCACAACACAAGTCCAGGTGATTGTGAGAGTATGTTTATTAAAGTTGGAAACAGTGAGACAAGGAAGGGCTTAGGACAGAAGAAGCAACAAGAGAGAGAGAGAGATGGTGTTAGGGGGTACTGCTTTGGCTCTCCAGAAACATTATAGGAAAGAAGTGAGCCAAGGTGGGGCTGCTGTCAGCTCACTGGAGAGTCAGAGAAAAGGGTGCCTTAGAGACAGGTTCAGGGGGTTAGCCTGGGACGAGCTGCTGTTGCCCATTGCTCCCTTGGTTGCAAGTCTTGTGAGGTCCCTTAGAGTTTAGGAGATGCTTGCTTATGGGGGCAGAAGAAGAAGGAGGAAAAGGTGTGGATGTGCTCCTGGAAGGGAGAGTGAGCACTGGATCCTTGTCTTGAGGCTTTTAATGGCTAGAGTTTAGGCAAGGGCTTAGGGGTGGATCTCAATAGCATATTCATCAGCTTTATGCTGATGCATCAAAATGAGCTTTATTCCCCTGACCTCATAGTCCTTGGGTGTGGTTGGCACAAATGGTACTACAGTGGAACCTCAATTCTCAAACTTAATTCTCTGGAAGGCTGTTTGAGAAGTGATTTGTTCAAAAACTGAGTCATTTTATCCCATTAGAAATAATTTAAATTGAATTAATTCATTCCAGACACCCAAATGATTCTGTTTTAACCTTTCTTATACACTGAGTGGCCAAATTATTATGAACACCTGACGTTTGTAGGCAAATTAGCTATAATTTCATACTGAAGTTGCTTGAGGGCCAGACCATTATAAATAGGGAAGCAGGTTGTTTACCACGATAGTAGAAGTGATTTTTTTCTGAAGATATGGGTAAACAACATAATTTAACAGACTTTGAATGTGGGATACATATATATATATTTGCACTGAGTGGCCAGATTATTATGACCACCCCATTAGTACTTCATTGGGCCACCTTTTGTTTTGTCTTCAATACTGCGGCGATTCTTCTTAGCATTGACTCCACGAGATGTTGAAAGGTGATGCGAGGAATCTGACACTGTACCTGATGAATAGCACTGTCCAGTTCTGTGAGATTTGATGGTGGTGGAACCAGCTGCCTAATGGCTCTTTTAACTTTGTCCCACAAATGCTCAATTGGATTGAGGTCTGGTGATTGTGGGGGCCACCTAAGCAAGGTAAAGTCTCCCTCATGTTCTTGAAACCACTCCTGCACAATACGAGCATCGTGGCATGGCGCATTGTCTTGTTGGAAGAAGCCATCTCCATTGGGATACGCCATCAACATGATAGGATGAAGTTGATCAGCAATGATACTTAGGAATGTTGTGCTATTCAGACGTTGTTCCACATGAATTAAAGGGCCCAAATCATGCCAGGAAAACATGCCCCAAACCATAACATTGCCCCCACCAGCTTGAAGGGTTGTACTCATGCATGTGGGGTGCATGCTTTCATGCTGTTTCTGCCAAATTCTCACTCTGCCATCTGCATGATGCAACTGGTAATGTGATTCATCGGACCACATGAGTTTTTTCTAATGCTCGACTGTCCAATCCTTGTGTTCCTGTGAGAATTGGAGACTGAAGCATCCATCTTATATAAAAACTGCTGTTTGAAATTTTAAACCTGCATTTTGGCTTCTGTAAATGCTTGCTGGCTTAAATAATAAGAAAAATAAGACTACTCCCATTTCAGAGAGGCCATTAAACCTTCTCCAGACAGAAGTTATCAGTGCTGGCGTCAGGCCAAGCCTTTGGTTGAGGTCTCAAAGCCCCAGCACATAGGGCCCTTTAAGAACTTGCAAAGGGAACCAGAAAACCCCATATTTGGGAGACAAAGAGGGTAAAAAGGTATAAATACAGGAAACTTCCTATGTGACGGAGCCCAGAAATTGAGAGACATTTTCCTCTGGGCCCACGAGTAATAATAATAATAATAATAATAATAATAATAATAATAAATGTAACTCCATCTCTCTAAGTGTTGCTTGGTTCTTCTCTGGTTTTCTGTAACAAAACAATGGCAAAACAGTTTACAACCCTTTAGTACAGCAGTTCTCAACCTGTGGGTCGCAACCCCTTTGGGGGTCGATCGACCCTTTCACAGGGGTTGCCTAAAACCATCAGAAAACACATATATAATTACATATTGTTTTTGTGATTAATCACTATGCTTTAATTATGTTCAATTTGTAACAATGAAATTGGGGGTCACCACAACATGAGGAACTGCATTAGGAAGGTTGAGAACCATCTTCCCTAACCAAGGATACTTAAAAATAAGCGATTTACACTTATCCCCCCTCCTTTACCAGGGGATAAATAGCTTCAATCACTACTCAGGGAGATAAATCACAAAAATCCCACTAGTGCCATTTGTGCCAACCACTCCCAAGGACTATTAAGTCAGCGGAATAAATCTCATCTTGGTGCATCAGCATAAAGCTGCTGAAATTCTATTGAGACCCTCCCCTAAGTCCTCCCTTAAAATTCCTGCCTTTAGGAAACAGACAACCCTCCAGGCAAAGACCCAGCACAGGCTCTCTCTGGAGCACCCAGGCCTTTCTTCCCTCTTAGGCTTGCATCTCTACTTTTCTCTCCTAAAGCCTAAGGGTCCCTAAGAGACTTGCAACCAGGGGAGCAATGGACAGTGGCAGGTCATCAGGCTAATCCCTTGCACCTGTCTCCACGGCTCCTTTTTTCTGACTGTTTGGTGAGCCAGCCCCACCCTGGCTCACTTCTTTCCTATAACATTTCCAGAGAGCCAAAGCAGAGCACAGCCTAGCTCGCTCCCGTTGCTGCTTCTATCTGAGGCCCTTCCTTTAACAAACCTATCCTTTACTATCCCCAACTTTAACAAACATACTCTCAATCACCTGGACCTGTGTCGTGAAATATTTCTTGCACAAAATCAGTAACACGCACACACTGCCAGATGGCCTGAGGCAGACCTACTTCAGGTCCAGTCTCTTGCCAGTGACATTCTCACCAATAGTGGGGTAATAATGGATACCTTGTATTGATTATAAAGATAACCTATTTAAATGGTGGCATATCGGAGTTTTCAATGACAGTCATTATCACAAGAATTATTTTGGTCTCAATGAAAAATCCTGCAATGTAATTCTTTCAGCTTCTATCCCTTCTTCTGGGGACTACAAATTGAGAAGTAGGAACTGAAGGCAACCCATGCACGATTCGACATGGCTTCTCTCTGATAGCCATCACTCCCAGGCCGAAGGTTCACAGAAGGAGACACACTTGCATCTGTATTTCTAGAAGGGAGATTAAATCTAGGGTTAGTCTATTAGAAAGAAGACATTTCAAAATTTGGGTGCACAGCTGAATACCAAAAGTAAACTGCACTATAAGCCAGATGTTC